CTCCTAGACGCGGGCACTGGAGGAGCCAGTTGCGAAGCAGAATCCCAACAACATCCTCTCCTCCGGCTGATTGGTTGCTTTGCTACTTTAGGCAAGAACCAGCCGTCCTCCGGAGATAACTCTGCAGGCTCCGAGAAGCGACAACTCTTCGACCTGCAGGCCCAGGCCGAGGCGCTGAGTGATATTCACCTTCGCGGTGGTAACGATGTGAGTATTCGTCACAAAACGCGTCGTTTACATAGTTACTTCTAATCAGTTTGCCATTTAAGCGTGTTCTATGAATGCCGTCAATGGCTTTTATCAAAAGTTTTGTAAACCAAAATTGTCGACAAAACCGCATTTATATCTATTCCCCCCGCCCAACTGTCTTACGGAATTGGTGGTTAAGCATTTAATTTTTGGTTAACGAGTGTAAAGGAATATTTAATTGTGTTTGAATTGGTTAAAAATATTTAAGCTACATATAGTCATTTTAATGAGCTAAATATAATCAACTCCCATGGTGCCGTGGTAGAGTATTGAACTCAATCACCAAAGGTCCCAGGTTCAAATCTCGGGGGTTCCAACCCTTGGGATTGGGTATGACTGGCTGATGACGGCTAAGAAGCCAGAAGTGGCCATCCCGGTCTCCCTTTGCTTTGTCGTAACCATTTAATAATATTATCATAGTCAGAATGTGACGGTCTGGCGGGTTAACGTTTTGAGCTCCGGGGCAAAGCGGAATTTAATCGTTCCCCTACTAGATCGGCGAAGCGCATATACTCATAATCAACTCCATTAACATAAGCTCCTTTTGCTCAGGCAACTGATGCCTTTAATGGACCTTCGACCTTTGATGGCGGAATTTAACGAAAAAAGGGAAATTCGAGCTACTGAAAAATGTAAAAGTAGTTTACTATTATAAGTATTAAGTATTATAGGACCTCTAAAGACAGTCCTACCAAATTTTCTAATCAGAACGCCCTAATTCTCCCTCTATAGATGTTAGCACCTCATTTCGGTGGAATTTGTTTTTATTTTCTCTTAAAAGGACAAGGTGCGTGCTGATGTTAAACAACTGGTAGCCTGGTCTCTTCGGCTTTTGCCACACCAACAACAGCAAAAGCGCAAGCCTGATCCCCGTCCCCTGCAGGCCTGGCAATCCTACCATGAGCAACGCCTCGAGCAGTCCAGTCCCGCCTTCCTCGCGGGCACTCCACGACCCAGTCTCGCAGATCTAGCTGCTCTGCTAGTTATTTCTCAGCACAAACTGGTCTTTAACTCGCCCGCTGGTCGCCAGTGGTCTGGGAAGTTAACCTCGCAGTCAGCTGTAAGTAGACGTACTTGAAAGGAATGCATCATTCAGGGGACGATTCTTTTATAATCCTTCCTAAAATGTAAAATACATGGCTACTGAAAACATTTAAGTAGAACGTGTAGTGTTTGTAGTATGTGACAAGTGAGAGGAGTTCGATTACGGCGAACTATTTTACTAACTTCCGCTTTCTGGAAAGTTCAGTGTGACTTTTAAAGCAAAGAAGTCGAATTGTGATAACTGCTGTGGCATGTGTCTTGCTAAAGTTTATTAATCGACTTCGGAGTATGCATGACTGGGGCACGAAACCCAGCGCAGCCGGATCCCGAGCTAGTCGTTAGTACGACAGCCTAGTATCAACATTGCAGTGAATTATAGAACTCGGCTCTCGTCAGTTGATCATCCGTTTTAAACCTTTGTGGTGGTCAGTGTTTCTTCAAGGATAACCTAGACCAACAGAAGAGGATGAGTAATTTTACCTTCATTTTCCCCAGAAGAGGAAGAAGAAGTGGAGGCGATTCC